TTAATTGTTCTATTCAACGAAATTGATTCAAAATTCAAGATTTTTCAGCAGAAGAGAATGCTGAAAAAGTCATTTTTGAAGAAATTCCAGACTTTTTTCTGACGTTTCCTATCTCTGATAAATCTGACTCACATCATATATTAAAAAAACTGAAAGTCAATCACATTGGACTTCTTATTTTGTTATCTTTGATAAACAAAGTTACTTTTTAAATCTATCTAAATATAATCGGGATCATAAAAAAGATTAAATATATAAGCGCAAAATAACACAGAAAAAATGATCTAACCAATTTGGAGTCATTTGAATTTTGCATAAGTTCAAACACGATACATCAACATTCTAGTTATCATTATTCGATTAATTAATCAAATACATGTTTTATATTAAATTCTTTTCTATATTCTATGCTATATATTATAAATTTAATCGATTTACATTAGAAAATATACGGTTAGTTTACAACTAGAGAAAGATGTATAGTTACATAAAAATTAGTTGATAAATATTTATCTCATAGTCATTTCGAATACTCAGATGATTATAATTGGTAGAAATTGAAGTTAGCTAATATCAAAACGTTTGATTTGATTTTCGATATGAAAAAATACTGATTCGATATTTGAGGGTAGAAACTAACATTAAATATTGTACGTGATGATAAGCGTGCAAATAGATTTTTGTGATATCTCAAATGAGGAAGATGGTCTTCTTCTTCTTCTTCATACAAATCAACTACCTCTTTTGTCCACAAAAAAAAATATTAAATTTTCAGCAACAGTACATCGAAAGTTGTTCACCTTTTCATAGAAACGTCGTTTTATTGTTGAACATTGGTGTAAATGAAACAGATGTAATACTTGTCATACATTATATCAATTATTTAACTATCTTCATATGTTAAACAATATTTTCTCATGATTTTAAAAAACTTGTAGATTTTTAAAATGTCGATAAGTGAGATGAGTATCTTTCCTACTGAAACTCAATGAATTAATTAGACAGGACTAGAAAAATCAACTTTCCTTATAATTGTGTTCTAAGTATGAGGATAGAGTAAGATAAAAAATTAGAAGATAAATCAAATATCAATACCGAAAAAAAGGTGTAATTTAACATGTCTGAGTCGATATATATCTACGAATATAATTATATAGAAATAAATCACACTGAACAAAATATTGTATTAGAAATTAATTGAGAAAGAAACGTTTTTTAAAAAAATCAAGAGTCGCATATAAGTGTGAATTTTAATTTGACTTTAATAATTATTAATGTTTATCATATAGATTCTATTCAAGAAATTTGATTTTATTATCACTTTAGAAAATACTTTCAAATATCTCTCTCATTAATTATCTTTTTTAATATTGCACATTTCATTTATTCACAAGTTCAACAAAAAGAAATTCTAATTAATATACCGATAGACCTTATATATAGTAGAATAAAAAGTCTCATTTATTTTGTTCGAAGAGTTCGTAAATATTTCTTCTAGATGAAATCGATTATTTTTTTCTATTTGATATTATTAACGAATGGTTTTCAACCAATTTATTTTAAATTAAGTCAAATTGGAAATGAATTTGAAGCAGCCAATTCTACTGAACTCTTAATCATATTTGATAATATTCGTAGTGTCATTCGTTGTGCTATCCTTTGTTCTTATAATATTCAATGTCGTACATTTAATTTTCATTCAAATTCTCATCAATGTTATCTATTTGAAGGATCTATTGATACTGGTCATATTATATCAACGTCTTCATCAATCATAGTCGGATGGATTAATGGTAAAATAGATTTTATATATAAATTAGATGAGATGAATTCGATATAATCAGCTAAAAGTCAGTTGAACGTCAAATCATTTCAATATCTATACTACTATTCAACCAAATAATTTCTTTTTTCTATTAACGATAGACTCATATTTATATTTGAAATGTAATATAGATAACCTTTCTCGAATATCATTAGTCGTCTTTTACAAAACATATTAAACTAAATATTTTCATAAACAGGAAAAAAGAAAAATAGTTATAACGACTGATCAATCGTTATGAAACAAAATGACAAATTTCGAAAATTTAAAATTATGAAAAATATTCGAAAGTAGATTATTTCTTATATTCGATGAATAATTAAATCAATATCTTTTATATCTTTATTCAAAAATTCCTAAAAGATAAAATCAATATATATATTTATTTAATTTTCTTCTTTTTATATAATTCCTAGTTAAACAAGATTCATCGTTGACATTCACTTCTATCATATCAACATCCACATCATCATCCACAACAACTACAATAGAAACAACAACACCTACAACTACAATCGTAACATCAGTTCAAACAACAGATTTAACTTCAATAGAGACATCAATAATAACAACGATACCTCTAACTACAATAGTAACATCAGTTCAAACAACAATAACAACAACAGGTCTAACTTCAATAGAGACATCAATTCCAATAACAACAACATTTATGACTACAGTAGTAACATCAATCCCAATAACGACAACACCTCAAACTACAATAACAACATCAACTGCAACAAGTATGAATTTATTTTTCAAATGGCTAATATATATAGAGAGAAATTTAGGAAATTTCGGAATAATTTGAGTAAAAAATGAATTTAAAATAATTTTCTTTTCTATTTGAATTAAAAGATAGAAAGAGATAAGATTGTCTTTCATATTGAAATAATACTTCTATATATTCGAGGAATTGAATTTGTTAGTTTAATTGAGTAAATAGAATATTTATAGATAATTGAAATGTTGAAAAGATAATTTTCGCTAATTTTCTTGTTTTTGAATGTAAATAATTAATACAATATTCTTTGAAATCTTTAAATAAATTTAGCATCAATGTTTTGTCCTCCTCAATTGGTAACAAATGGAATCTTATTCTCAATAACAAATCCGTCATCATCAAATTATCCATTATATGATTGTTATAATTATCAATGGATAGCAACAGATTCATCATCAACATTATCCTTTTTTTTCCGTCAAGATCCAGGTGGATGGATGTTGGATGATATTAGTGTTTATTATAATTCAACCCAATTAATAATCAATGGAGGATTTGAAACAGGTGATCTTACAGGATGGACATGGTCAGGTACTTGTAATATAAATGTTGGACAAGCTTATTACGGTAGTTCTTATGCTCATAATGGTAATTATTATTATTACGATCGTTGTGCTGGGGATAATCATGGTGATACATTACAACAAACATTTCCCACAATTATTGGTCAAACTTATTTTATTAGTTTTTGGTTAACAAATTATGATTGTTGTTCAACTCAAGAAATTGCTAATATTACTATTTATTAAAATAGATTTCATTTCATTTGATTTACAAATGAGACTTTTACAATTTTTTTCTTTTCCTTTCGATTTTATTAAATAAGAATCAATTTAAATTAAAAATCGAATTTTTATTTCTTTTTATCTTTAAATCTGTAAAATAAATTTTGAAAGAATTTGTCTTTTTAAAAAAATGTAATTATTGTTCGTAAACATAAATATGAAATAAGAAATTCTATTTTGAAATTTGAAAGAAAAATCGAATGATTTTTCTAAATTAAAAACAATTAAAAATAATTAATAAGAAACATATTTTTCAAATGGATTATACTTAACAATTCTTTTTCTGAATATCATCTATGATTTATATTCAGTAATTATCTCATTTGCTTGTCAAAAATATGAAAACAATAACAAATAAGATAAATAATTCAATTTCAAGTAATCAAATCGAATACAGTCAAGAATGTCCTTTAGAAAATGTCTTTTCAAAAATGTCCGTAGTTTTTCGTCCTTCAGAAAACGTCCTTCATATTAAATGTCCTCTGTATAAAATGTCCTTGGGAAATGGTCCTTTCCGAAATGTCCTTTCGCTAACAAAAGTCGATAATGTTAGTTTAAAAGAACAATGATAAAATTTAATTTAGAAAAACGTTTAAAAATTTTATTGAATTAGTCATTCGGTACAAAGGCTGGGTGGGTGTGGGTATTCCTAATTTACTACCCAGAGCAACACCTCTACTCACACCCACTCCCTCTGCAGTAAAACAACACGAATGAAATAATAATCACAAGATAGATTGGTATAAGTATAATATAATTGCTAATGATAACAAGCATTATAGATTATTAGTTAAAGAGTCGTTACTAATTAGTAAACTTGAACCATCACTTAATAGAACTACGTGCTCAGCACCTTTGATAGTATACCCGGAAGGATTAAGAATGAAAAAGCCAAAAGTCAAAATTAAATCAACGGAAGATGCACCACCAAGGGGGGAACCAATCAGTATTATGAGCGCTCATAATACTGATCGCCCTACTTGATGAAGGTATCTGTAAAATTTCTGATTGGAAATTCAACAGATGATCTCTCTTGCTTTCGTATATATGTGTAAAACTTTTTGTCTTCTGTGTTCTTTGTCTTGATAATGACAGATTATCTGTCGAAACGTAGACTTGTAAAATTAGTTTAATAAATTGTACAAACTAAATTATATTTGTTCACAATATTATTATTAATTAATATTAAAATTAGCTATATTTAACAAATATATATATATACACGTATAGTTATAACATGAAGTTTAAAGCTGCTGTTAAAGCTATTTTATTTGATTTCTATTTAATTGAATTTTTAAGCATTCAACAGGATTAATAATGATTAGTATTAACAAGGTAGTGCTAATCCGATGGACTCGCTGACCCTTTTCTGAAAGAAAATTTTCTATGATTATTATTAACAAGTAACGCTCGTTCAGAGACTCGCTTAGCTCTTTCTTGTAGAAAACGCGTTCTACAATACTATTGAACTTTTTACTTGTACAGTTTGCAAAAACTAACATCAGATTCGAGTTCCTGGACCTCTATTGCTCTTCGGCCAACCCTTAAAAAAAATTTTTTTGCAAAAAAAGTGGTCCTATGTCTAAAAAAATTGATACTCAAAAAAATGCCAAAAAAACTAACCTCGGATTCGGATTCCTTGACCGCGATTACCCTGGGTCAATCGTTTTCTGATGACCACCGATAAGTTTTCTTTGAGTTATAAAATGCTGCAATCTTATTGGCTCGGACAAACTGACAAACAAACGGACGAACTTTAAGCATTTTAACGACCCTGTTTAACAACCCTATAACCCTTTCTTTCAGAAAAGGGAATGAAAAGAATTCATTTCAATTTCTTGATGATATTTCATTACGTGCTGGTGCATTATTTACTAATCCATATTTTAACAAGAATATAACTGCGAAAGTTTGTGCACGAGTTTTTGGTGAACAACAAGATGCAACTGAAGATATTGAAGAATTTTCTAAAATAACTTCACTTAATCTTCGACCTCAACTTCAACTTCATGGTTTACTTTCATTTGATTCTTATATGGAATCTAATGTTCATCGAGAGGTTAGTCAAGATAATATCAATGAATTTTCATTTGATTTTTTTTCTTTTAGTAGAACTATCATGCAACAAAAGCAAGTGAAACTGATCCGGAAATTTATCGTCTTCATGTCTTTCTTGTTACAATAAAACTTCTTCATGAATTATTCCATTGTTTAACTCCATCGTTTATTGATTATCGAAATCAACAAAGATCAGATTTAAAACTGTAAAACTTGCTTCTTTTTAAAATCATTTCAATTGGATTTTTTTCTTTTTCCTTTTCTTCTTAGTCTGGTCGAAACACCACCCGACATGGGACGAAAAGGATTAACTACTACTGAACGAAAACGAGGAGGAAGAGGAATTCGATTCATTGGTGATATGGGTTTTGCAATGGAAGAAATTCTTTTTAATGGAGCACGTCTTTTTCATCATCCATTATCTGGTGATTTTCATTTTCTCGTATGTTTTTTTTACTTTGTTATTCCATTATCTTCAAGAATATTGTTATACTATACGTCAAAGTTTTCTATTTATTCTGGAGAATTAAGAAAATATGACGAAGATGAAGAATCATACGTTTATAGGAACAATTAGAAAGATTCCGGGAAGCCACCAACGATTGATATATCATCCCGATAGTGAAAGTCATAGTGAAATTAGCTTGAGCAGCAACAAATGATTTTTTTTCCGGTAAAGAAAGATCTCTCGTGATAAGAAGGAGAAAAGATGATTGACTCAACTCTTTCCCGTCGAGATGATATTCCTCAAATATTTATTAAAAACATGAATAAAATCTTTTTTGATCTTTTATGGGTATATAAGCAAAAAAAGAATTTCTGTTTCTCAAGACTCTTTTCTCTCCGATAAAGAGAATACATCTAATTTCAAACTGATTAATTTGAAATATGAATTCTTTTTTATTTAGATCAATAAATTGTATTCGCAAGAATACGAGAGCAAAACTTGTCGAACAACTAATTATGACATAAATATTATGTCAATTTGGTCAACATTTATGTCTCCCGAAAATTTATTTACATTTCGAGATATAAAACAATAGGTGGAATACAGCTTGATAACGGTGAAAAACGGTAGCCCTTACGGCTGACGTTTCAGATGAGACGGAAACGACTAAAGGAAACGACAGTAGTTTTTCATCGTTTTCAAGCCGCTTTACGACTCACCGTAAACGATGGTCTCAAGGTGACCATTTTTTACTGTTTACGATGTCGTATTCTTTCACCTGGGTTGTCTAAAGACTCACTCAGCTCTTTCTCGTAGAAGTCGCTTACTGAATAACTACCAGGCCAAGCTACTGATTTATATAATTAACAAAACAGAAGTCAGATTTGAATTCTTCGACTCCGATTACCCTTCGGTCAATCCTTATAAAAAAAACAATTCCTTTTATATCTTTACCTAATTTTTGGACTAATCAGTGAAATGCAGACACACAAGCAAGGAAACAATTTATGTTTGCAAATCTCTTCTCTACGAGAAAAAGAATTGACAACTGAAAAATCTTCTTGGAGAATATTTATTGCAGATTTCGATAATAATCAATAAAAAGATATAATTAACAGAAATTCTTTGAATAATTTTATCTCTATTTTATTTAATTATCAAAAAATAAATTCTGTTATCAAACAGGAAAAATGCTATATGAGTAATAAGTAATTATTTCGATAACGATTTATTTCTTGATATTATTCTTGCTAATAATGGAAATAATTACAGCAATTAATATTTATACAAATTCGATTTTATCATCAGTTAGTACAAATGATTTTAATCATAATGAAAAAATTCACATTGCTACTTTTGATCCACAAAATAATCTTTTAGTTATTTTTTAAAATCGTTTGTTTGATGATTAAATTCAGACATTGATACACTGTAGCACAGTCTTTTTTCAGTAAAAAACTTTCTAACTGTTCGATACTTAATGTTTGATATACCACTCAATATCATCGGTAGAGTGAATTCTCTTATTGTTACTTTTGTTATAAGTGTTATCATGATAGAGAATAATATTCGTACAAATTTAAAATGAAAAGTAAAAATCTATTTTTTTTTTATTATATTATTCGAGAGGATGATCTAATCAACAAAAACAATTGAAAGCTCATGTTTTACACGCACAATTAACTTCTATATTATTTTATTAAGAAACCTTGACTAGTAGTCGAGCATTTGTTAAGTAAGAAAAAGAGAGTGTATATCAATAATTGATCTACCTCTTTAAACTTTTACGATTGTATTCTAGTTTGAGGATAATTAACTATATAAAAAATTGATATCAACTTGACTTAAAAGATGACAAACAATAGAATTATTTTGAATAGCTTCTTTTTATGATCTATCGATAAGAAATGCAATATAAGTACCTTTTTTCTAACATGTCAATATTACGTACATCGCTTTTTTTCAAAAGATGTGCCATAAAATTGGATATAAAATGTGTATTAAATCTATTATTGTAAAAGAGAAAAGTAAAAGAGTATAGATGAAAATCTCAAAGACCAATAACAACTTTCAATCGACAAAGAAAGGGTTTTTTTTCATTTCAATCTTTACTTTTTTTGTTCTATATTAAATAAATATTAAGATTATTATTTTAAAATCATTTTCTAATCGAATTTTTGTTCCAGTTGCCAATTAATTATTAGAGAATGCTTTTTCTTCAATATCAACGTTTTTCATATACTCTTTTACTTTGATTTTCTTTCATAATACATCGTTTTAAAAGAAATTAATGCGTTCCCTTCGAACAATTCCTAGATCGTTTTTTTTCTTGATTCAATATTCTTCTAGATATTCTATTTGAATATTTATTAAAATGAAATTTGGTTTACATTTATTGGCTAATTTAACACCTGAATGGAATTCTCAATATATTCAATATGAATATATGAAAGAATTACTTAATAAAGTAGTGGCACAAGCACCCGTAGTAATCGATGATGATGATGATAGAAATTCAGCACGTGAACGATATTTTCGTCGTGCTGATGATGCTTTTTTCGAAGTAAGATTTCTAGGAATGTATTATTCGTTTATTATATATTTATTTAAAGTATTGTGATAAACAATTAACCAAAATTAATACTTTCTTTGCTGAAAAATTGGCCGAGTAAGTATTCAAACCTGGAAACTACTATGAATATTCAAGGATTATCAAATAAAAAAAAAGAATATTGAGAGTAATTTTTTGACGATTATTAACCTGTAAAATTATTTGTATTATAGTGTATGAGAAGATTTTAGAAAATCTAGTTTCGATCTATTCATTACGATAGTTTTAAAGATAAATTCAATTTTCTTTCATTTTATCTTATTAACTTTGACTATAATATTTAAAATGGAATCTCAATTTAATTAATATCAATACAAATATGAAAATCTAGAAGATAAATTGAGTAGAAATTGAATTACCTAATATAAAATATATCAGTATATAAGACTAAATAAGACTTAACTATTCGACATATAGTTTTCAATGAAAATTTCGAATGAATGATGTATTGCTTGTAGAGCACTGAGGCGTTTTGCTACTCTCAAAGATGAGATCAAGTACAGAGAATCAATATATGGTGATGCTGCTTCACGTAAAGTGTTATCTGCTGGTATTATTCAAAGAAGAAAGAAAGTTACCCATTCTAATAATGATACAACTTTAACGACAACCCGTACCCCACGACCAAGTTTGATGATGCCTCTCAGTCGCATTCTGCCTGATCGATTAGTAAAAAATGATGATAAAGAAAATAAACGACCTACGGATCATATTAATACAAATAGTTTGAAAGCGGCATTTAGTGAATATTATCTAATGTTGATTTTATTACAAAAATTTCAATTACTCAATTTTACAGGATTTCGTAAAATATTAAAAAAACATGACAAACTATTTGAAACAACACGTGGTGAGGAATGGCGGTAAATATTTATTTTCTTATTAGAAAATATATTTATTGAATAATTTTGTAATAGAACATTAAATGTTGATACGGCAACATTTTATACATCGAAATCAGTAACAGAACTTATTGGAGATGTTGAAACAATTTATACAAATGCATTCGAATCAGGTGATCGACCACGTGCAATGAAACGTTTACGAGTTCCACCACTTGAAGAAAAACAATCACCTATAGTAACATTTCGACTTGGAATCTTTATTGGTAAGCTGTTTCAATGTATCTATAAATCGATAGGAAACTTATATTTAATAAATTATATTTGTAGGAATGATTTGTGTTTTATTACCAATGGTAATTATTCTTATTGCTGTTCTCAATACAAGTCAATCAGGAAATGCATTAGCATGGCGTGAAGCTCTTCATCTTTATCGTTCATCATTTTTAATAATTCTTCAAATAACACTTGCTGGTATAAATGTTTATGGATGGTCATCAGCAGGTGTTAATCATATTCTTATATTTGAAATTGATCCACGTGAACATTTAACTTATCAACAATTACTTGAAATAGGAACATATTTATGTGTTTTATGGTGTCTTAGTTTCATAACATTTATTGTTCAATCTTATTTTGATTTTTATCCATTTATTCAACCACTTATTTTTCTTGTACTTATGATTCTTTTTCTCATTAATCCATTCCCAATACTTGCTCGTCCAGCTCGTTATTGGCTTATAAGAACATTAGGATTAGTTGTTTCAGCAGCTTTTCATCGTATTCGTTTCGCTGATAATTGGCTTTGTAATCAACTTTCATCGGTTGAATTAGCTTTTTTTGATCTTGAATTTTTCTGTTGTTTTTACTTTTCTGATCGTGCATGGTGGTCAACAAATTTATCTGAATCATCATCGCCTACCGGTACATTTTGTTCAAGTTGGACAAGATTTCTTTTACAAGCATTTTTATTAGCATTACCATCTTCACTTCGTTTTACTCAATGTGTAAGAAGATATTATGATACAAAACAAGCATATCCACATCTTGTTAATGCTGGAAAATATTCTGCAAGTCTTGTTGTAGCAATGACAAATTCACTTCGACGTGCAAGTATTGCATTGAATAAATATTATTCAGATAATCCAACAAAAAATCCATTTGTTTATATATGGGTTATGACTGCACTTGTTAATTCAACCTATAAAGTTATATGGGATATTAAAATGGATTGGGGTTTATTTCATAAAAATGCAGGTGAAAATAAATTTTTACGTGATCATATTATTTATTCATCAAAGAAATATTATTATTATGCTATTATTCAAGATATTGTTCTTCGATATAGTTGGACAATAAATATCTTTATACAATTTAAATCGGGATTAGCTGAATATTCTGATGTCATTGGTTTTTCTTTTGGTTTAGTTGAATTGATTCGTCGATTTTCTTGGAATTTTTTTCGATTAGAAAATGAACATTTGAATAATTGTGGTAGATATCGTGCAGTACGAGATATTTCAATTAAACCCATTACAACTGGTATTGATTTTACATTGATTGACTCGAAACTAAGTAGAGAACCAGGTATTCGATATCGAGGTAGAGTAACACGACTTCAAACAATTATTGATGATGAGAATATGGCAACAACTGATGATACAACAATGAATGAATTAGAAACTAATATAGCAGATTTTGTCAAAAATCAGACAGCGACATCAAATACTGTAGTAGTACCAGATATGAACGAAATCAACAAAACCTTGACTGATATTCGATCAAGGACAAGTCATTCATTCACAGATGCAGATGATTATTGTGATTCACCAAATCCAAACAGACTTGAGCATCGTGCAACATCTGTTTAAACGTATCTCTTGCTATTTTTACATATGTATAACATGAATCATCTATTCTAATGTCAATTTTACGAAGTAATACACATCATTTTTATATTTTTCCTATGGTATTCATTAGAAAAACTATATTTTATCTGTTCTTGCTTAATTTTTAATACATTTTTATGTCGTAATGTTTCTATTGTCTCACATTTTATTCAAACAATTTATTGTAATTTTTAATTTTAAAACAAAAAAAGATAATTAACTTTTCTTAAAAGTTCGAGCAAACTAATTTTTG